GTTTTAGGACAGTAGAAAGAGGCCTGAAAATCTAATCAATTAAAGACAACAGAGATTTTACAGCCTTTTTTATTTTACAAAACAGTTTAGGACAAAAAAGAGAAAACTCTATAATGAGAGCTCCATGCGTTCATAATAATGTCCAGCTATGATATTATCTGTCTTCCCTTGGCATCCTGTTTAATTTCTGAAGAAGAATAGGCTACCCCTTTTTCCTGATCCACACATATACCTAACAAAAAAAAACAAAAAATCTTGAGTCAAAATTCTAGCCTCAGTCCAACTGCAACTGAAGTAACAGAGAGAATGTCTTTGAAGTAAATAACATTTGGTTCTTTGATTTTAACCTTAATCTGGATTGATTTATTAACTCTAAGTAATGATCAAATCCTAGCTGCCAAATATCCATTCTTCTCCTCTATCCTTCTTGGTATATTTTGTCAGTACCTTTGTGATGAAGAACTCCAAATGTGTTTATCAACACTTACAGAACAAAATTTGGCACTATTAGGAAACCCCTTCTGTTGGAAATTCTTTTTTTAATCTCAGTGAAAATACCATTTCTGAACATGATTCATCAGACAGCAGAGTTGTTCAGGGTACATACACATACAGAATATATTCACGCAGCCTAGATGTGCATTACTTATTGGTATAATATGGTTGCTGTTTGTTAGAGTAATTAAAATCCTTGCAGATACGTTTAATCCTTTCATCACTTTGTTGTATTCAACTCTTATCTCTTCTCAAATTCCTCAAAAGTAAATTTTCCAGGACAGAGATCATCTTTTTCTAGTGTGGCTACATTATCTGGAACAGTGAATGCCAACTACTTGATTATAATTTCTGGCTATGTCCCCAAGAGAAATAATCATTCTTTTCACCTGTAAAATCCTCCAATATTGGTATACTAGCATATTTTTATAATTTATCACACGTACACACATGTCTTTTTTTGCCCCAAATCTCAAATGAATCACTGTTGCTACTAACACCTTTAAAGACATTCTAGCTCAGAAGTAATCATGCACCTGAAGCACTGTCTATTTAAAATATTTGAAATGCAATTTGGAGATGACATTTGTTCATCCAATTTCCGGTTCCACAGAGAAGGAATTTAGCAAAAGTGTAGATGGTGTTGTAAGGGCCATGGTTGAAGTTAATAGGAAACAAACCCTGCCCAATAAAGAGCATTATCCAGAAACAGACAGCAGCCTGTGACATGTATATAATTAGAGAAATTGGAGGCTTTTCCCATGAGACCATGTGTTCCACAGCAAATCCTATTTCCTTCATTCTCCCTTTCATGGTTATTGTAAGTGTAATCATTGCATGATTATAGTCCTTACATATAACATATCCGTTTCTTTTTGTTTTTTCCAATATTGGTGTTAATTGAATTCACTGAACAAATGACAAAAAAATCCACATCTCAGATCTTGTCAGACCAACTGACTTGCAAGACAGAAACCATATAAGGAGACCAAAAGACCAAATTTTAAATCTCACAGATATCTTATATGATGGTTCTTTTTTTCTGTAAGTATAAACCATTAGCTAATTCTTTTGATTTTTTCCTTGCAAAAAATATATAAAATAAAACTGACAACAAAAAATGTCTGATGTAGAAGTCCAAGTCATAAAGAGCAAGAAGTTAATTTACCAGCTTCCAAGTAAAAAAAAAAAAAAAGGTCTACTGGTTCGGTCTACTGGTTCTACTGTAACATAGGGAAGTGAACATCAAAAAAACCAAGTTTATCATAAAATTCTAAAAATAATTCTGAAAAGATTAGGGCTCTTACTGCTATGCTACAGAACTTAGCTCTCTTACCTGCCCTTGTTACTGAAGCACAACAGTAACCTAAGACATACATAACAGGAGGAAGGAAGCAATCATTCTGAAAAAGACTTATGTATGATAGTGAACAACAAATTAGGCATGAGTTTCCATAGTGATTCAGCAACAAAAGGCTGCTGCAATTTTCAGCTGTCTATACTGAGACAGTAACAGAGCAAAGGGACTACAGTCTCTTCTCTGTAAGTTGGGATGTTAGTATACTCAGAATTCTCCATTAAATTTTAGTTCCACACTATAAAGAAAATAATGAAGGAATTGGAAGAGGAATAATAATAATAAAAACACGAAGTTCTGCAAGAAGCAAAACTACTAAGTGCTATCGATTTGGATTTCATAGTTGGATTCTCTGGTATCTTAAAAATGCAAATTCCAATGAGTACTTTCTCCTATGCATCTCCTCTGTGGATTCTCTGATGTTTAATAAGAAATGATCTCATACTACAGCCTTTCTGCCAGTGGGAACACAGATGGGTCTCTTGCCCATCTGGCAGCCTGCTTTCCTCAAACTTACAGGAATTCCTGTCCAGTGGTGTTAAAACTGGCCAAGAGTTAAGAAGCTATTGAGGGAGAAAGGAGACAAGAAAGATCAGCAGCCACACAACATCCTAGACTAGCAAGTAGGCAGTGTGATCATATAAGCTTTTTTTTCCTGGGAACCTAGGCTAATTATCAAAGGGCTGGAAAGATTCTCTTATGATTAAAGTCCAAAGGCCCCAAAGTGGAAAAATAATTAAACACTTAAAGGTAAAGTGCTCTATTGGATATAGGGCTGAAAGAACCAAACATGATAGCTAGGTTAAGACACAAATGATGAGGAATGTTATAATTTACAGAAATATAAATGTTAGCCAAGGATGATGAGGATTTATTTGTACCAAGAGGAGCTATTACTAAGCTGAATTGCAACTGGGAATAGTGGGATTAAATAAAGGAAAGCTTTAGGCTAAAAATCAAGCGACACTGTAAGTGAGATGAGTCTATAGAACAGTTTTGAGACATAGGAAGTGGAAGCTCCATGGCTTAAGAAAATTAAAACTGGAAGGTAAAAAAACTGTTCTCTACAGAACAATAATGCATGGATGGTGAGACTGGCAGGGATGCCTAACAGGGCTTTCTTATCATTTATCACTAGATTAATAACACAAAATACTGCACTAAAGTTATTATAAAATCTGCACTACCATCCAGTAGTAGAACTGAAACCTAAATCAGAAATACAAGCAGTACAATTATGCATTCCTAGTATTTGTATGGCTGTTGTTTATACACTGTGTCTTTTTCGTTCACTTTTTTATCCATTTGTCCACTGTTGGGTGTCAATGATTGGTCTGATGCAACAGGAGAAAAACAGGATGGATGATTTCTAATTCAGGTAATGAAAGGAGGTTTCTTGTTTTCTCACGCAATAAATTTCTTTGTGAGTAAAGGCTTTAGTGTGAAACGTTAAGTAAAACTGGAGATGTTCTTATAATGAGAAGAAAATCTTCAACATATTTTCAAATATAAGTAAATAAAGTTGTTTAAGAATTTGAAGTTGAAGGAAGAGGAACAATGAGAAGGAAATGTAACATAGACAATATATAAAACTAATAAAAGTAGCTACTCCTTTTGAGTCCTCATCTAAATGGCTGAAACCAGACCTAGGATATATAAATGCATAGATCTGCCTTCCTTCCACATGATACATCAAAAATAAATATAATATTATATAGATAATTGTTTATATAGAGTTATTAAAATATCTACTTTTACACATAAAGTGATCAAAGTTACCTGTGTATTAGTGCAACGTTTTTAAGCAATACTGAATGGTATGGGTTTCCTTGTTATTATTTTCTAGTAAAACATAAAAGAAAATAATCAAAATGCACAAACCAGATTACACAGTATGTTTGATGTAGCAATTTCTAACATTCATTTAATATAGCTGAGCTGCAATGACTAATACTGCCCATGTCCGCTAGTACAAAGACCTAAAAAAGGTTCCAGACTAGATTACGTTCATGCAGGTCTCATTTTAACGGAAATTGGAGAGATGAAAAAAAGATTATAGGAACACACATTATAAAAACAGACCTCACAAGTCAAACTTAATAGTGAAACCATTCTCTTTCATGTAGACAACCATGAAAACAAATATCCTGTAAGCACTAGATATATATTGTATCTTTCTACCAGATCTCTTTGCCTCCTTGAGACAGATTCCCATTCATCTCATGACTATATAATTTGATCATAGTTGAGTAAGGCACAGCAGGCGAAAGGGTCTGTCTGATAAAGTATCAGGCTCCAGGAAGATAGATAAACAATTTCAGGATTTCTAGTTGTAACAGCAATGGTACAGTGGTGGATATTAAGATATTAGTCTTGTAGGAATACAAATATCAAGCTTCCGTAGTTTTTTCTCTTACTAAATATGTTTTCTTTCTATTAAGTGAAAATGACAGTCTGACTATGATAAACTAAGAACGCCAGAATAAAATGCTAGGTACATGTGAAAAGAGGAATTCAATCTTTTTTGATTTGTCAATGTGAAAGTTAGTACATAACTTTTTTTGGCTTAGTTTAAGACAAGTGAAAAAGTAGAGCAAGGAAGTTCCTTTCTTGAGGTATTTTTACTGCAAAGAAACATTATTTAAAAATAGGCGAAACAGTTGCCTATCACATTGTTTCACATTAAACCTCCTCTTTCACAAGGGACATGTTGGCAGGCAGCTCCTCTACTACGAGTCACTAGAGTAATGCCTGTTTGCAACGCTGTCTCATTGTTCTACATGTATTAAATGAAGGCTTGAGTGGTAATATTTGAACTGCTATGATGGACTTCTTTTTCATATATTAACACAAATATTTGGTTTGTATATATTAACACAAATATATAGCAGCCATTACTAATACAACTCTTGTTAGGTGGTGAATGTTACACTGTCTTTGTACTTCCTGTCTTGGATAGCTGAAAAACATGGTGATATCCAGTCATGCTGACACCTGCTTTTACTTATAAAAATTCAAAGAACAAAAATATATTTTACAGAAAATTTTTAGTTACAAACCCTGGATGTCATCTTTTTTGTTCAAGAAAATATATTCTGGAGTAAGCAATTTTTAAAGCTATCATACTATCTAATTTAGTATCACTTACCTGTGATTCTTTTACATTTTCAACAGTGAAGTTGAACCAAACTCGAAAGCGTGGGTTACAGGTATCTGGTCTAATAAACAGGTCATACTCAAACTCTGTGATATGGTCCACCCGTCCAAGGTTACCTACCAAGAACATATGAAAAAGAATGCATTTTAATGAATGGCTGATAAACTCTCAGGAACTACGCTGAGAAAAGTTTTTAAAACTTCTACCTCTGTTGGTTAAAATATATAATAAGCCTTACAACAGTTCAGAATTATTTTTAAAAGACTTAATTATAGTCACAAAATAAAATAGATACGTGTAAGCTACACGCATATGAATACACCAAAAAGAAGACAACATGTATTTTTATTATTCAATCAAATTGACTTTTTGTCTTCTCTTATCTGAGTATTCCAGTTAAGTGTCCTAACATCCTTTTAATTATTTCCTTTTTTTTTTTCCCCCCACTTTCTGATAATGTCTCTGCACCTCTATTAGCCACCACTTGTACGGATTTCTTTCTTTCTATTTGCTGCTTATGTTCAAGCACCTCTAAGATTAAAGAGTCCTCAGATTTCCACCTGGCCCCTCTGGCTGGTGCTCTGAGCATCCCTCTCTCCCCACAGATGGGCCAGCCTTCATCTCCTTTGTGATTCAAAAGCTATCTTAATACTTTGCCTTTACCATTTGAGCCACAATCACCTCCTTCCAAAGACACAAATGAGGCTGTAAGATTTCGCCTCAGCTTTTTGCTAGTGAATTTCATGGACTAATATTTTTAAATATAGTCAGAGCTACATTGTCCCCTATGGCATTATTCAGCAAGCAGCCACACTGGCTATAGAAATGAAGTTCAGCACTGGGAAAACTTGCTAAGTGCTTTTAAATTGCTAAATTGGCATTTTTCCTTTGAAGTGTGCCAAGATTCTTAAAGACAGGGTTCAGACTGCCCATTTCATTTATACACTAGAAAAATAAGACTTCACATTTTCCTGATCCAATCCAAAAACCATCTTATCAGGCCTTGTAAGACAAGGCCATGCTTTAGCTCACATGCTAAATTATACTTATTAAAAAAAAATACCACTGTAAGATGACCTGGTTTTATGGTTTCAGATATATTTTTGGGTTTAGATACATATTTTTGGGTTGGATATATACTGTTGGGTTCAAATAGTTTTTTATAACGCAATTTGAGCTAAACAATTCCCTCCTCAGCAACATGCTGTTCTGGGGTGGAAAAGAAGCAGGAAAAAACATTTTCAACTCTGTTCATCAATATATTTGCAGGATTTCTTCCTTATCCTAAATTGTTTCTGGCTTTACTAATTGAACACTTTTAATCTTCCCTATTTTTAATGTTATCCTCTACTTTCCTACCCACAGTCTTCTTTTCAGAAGAAAATTCTCTTCACTGATTCCCTCTGCAGAAAACCGCTTCATGCTAACAATCTGTTCCTAAACACTTGCCTGAAGGATACATTTGGCATATGAGATATTTGAAAAAAAAAAAAAAAACCAGCAATATTGTACAGCTAGAATACCTTTGCCAAATATAAATAATGTCATCTGCTGTATCGGGTGTCCGTGCCCAGGTGCCGGCAGCAAACGGCCCCACCGCAGGGCACAGCTGAGCCCCTCGACAAAGGTGGTGGCACCTCAGTGAAAATGTATTTAAGGAAGGGCAAAAACGCCACACAAGCAGAGGAGTGGGGAAGTCTGAGGAGAACCAGGGTTCGAGGAGGAGAAGAAGGAGGAGGAAGGAAGGGAAGGGAGTGCTCTGAGCACTGGGGCAGAGACTCCCCTGTGTCCTGTGGGGAGAGGCTGGAGCAGGTGGATATTTCCTGAAGGACCAGTGGCCCGCGGAGGACCAATGCTGGAGCAGGCTCTCCTGACAGGAACTGCAGCCCATGGGAAGGGCCCGTCCTAGAGCAGGGGAACAGTGTGTGGAGGGAGGAGCGGCAGAGAGGAACTGCTATGGACTGCAGCCCCCTGCCCCCCTGCACTGCTCCTTGTGGGGGGAGTGAAGTTGGTCCTGGGAAACAGGGAAGAATGGGGGGAAGGTGGTGTTTTAATTTCTTTTTGTTTCTTACTATCCAAACCTATTTTAACTGGAAATAAATTAGTTCTCCCCTAGTCAATTCTGTTTTGCCTGTGATGGCAATTGGTGAGCAATCTCCCTCTCTTTGTCTCAGCCCACAAGCTTTTTCATCTTATTTTCTCCCCCCGTCCTGTTGAGGGCGAGTGAGAGAGTGGTTGGGTGGGTGTCTAGCAGCCGGCCAGGGTCAACCCATCACATCTGCCTGACTTGAGGTTAAGTCCCTTACTCACCTAAGTGCACTTTCTGCCACAGCGGTCAAATCTATCACTGCTATTCACAACAACTTGAATCTTAACGTAAACTATTCTTTCCTACAGATTATTATCCAAAGTAAATAAGAGTGGTAAAATCAAGCTATTGCATTGTAATACCTTTAATTAAAGGACTTTGCTTTACTGTATTTTTCATTCAATGTCATTAACATATGACATTGTTAGGAAAAGAATATTCCTCACGTATTTCAGAATTTAGGTGTTCCAAGCTGTTAAACTGCATAGATTGAATTCCAGTTGCCTCACAGATCACAGTCTAAGCTCTCTGTGGACAAAGCTTAATGTGTGGATGCCCGGAGTCACTTCAACCTGAGTTGTGCATGTGATGCTGGTGGATCCCCTAAGATTAAGGCAGCAGGCTGGATAAACACAGACTGTGGACTAGGTCCAGCTTGTAAACTACTAGATATACATGCCTCCCAATGATCCCAGCAATTCCAGATATGGATTAAGTTATCTGCAGCACAGACCAGAGGTGCAAATTTTGATTGAATTACTTCCAAAGAAGGACACAGAAGTGATTAAATTTATATTTTAGGCTCAAAGATCATTAAAAAGTTGTACTGCAAGGCATTGGAAATGAAAATATTATTAACTGAATAAATAAAAACAGAGCACAATGAGACCTTGATTTCTGACCTATTGCACATTTCAGCTTCTTTTTCAACATCAGACTGTCCTGAACTGTATGGGGGACAGATGGCCCACTCAGAACTACTTTACAGAGTCCATAGGATCCCTAAACTAGCACTGGAGAATTGTACTGATGTCAGCGAAATCACTGATGATGAAGAGCTGGTATGCTGGAACCACTCCAAGTCAGTCTGCTCTGGAAAACCCATATACCGATCTCAAATCCAGCAGAACCTTTAACAATGTAATCATTGTGTGCACAGTTCCCTGGGACTCCCAACACTGTTTTCTCTTTTTATCTGTAATACTTGATTTGAATACTCACCTCCTTCTTAATGCAGTATTTTTTCCTTTTGTGAATTGTATCTCACTTTATTACTTTTTGCCTAAAGAACTGCCTCTCACTAGGCTCCTTTGTAGTACACGTCAGCTGCCATAGTCACCTGCAGCCATTTGCAGTTTAGTATCATTTGTACATTTCATTAGCGCACTATTTCTTCTCTGTCTTCCAGATGCTAAATAGGCTGGACCGAACACTAATGCCTTCGGTAACCAATTCAACAAGTTCCTCATGCTCAATAGACTATTGTTTGTAATATCACAGCCTTTGCTCACAATCTGTCAGCCTAATTTCAACCCACATAGCAATGTCATTAAACAAGACGGCAGTTTTGGTACAAAGAAGCCTAGAACTGTAAGAACAAAACACTTCCTTGCTTTAAGAGATGCTTTGTAGAAAATTGGTAATACCACTGAAAAGTATTTTTTGGTGTCCAAGAAAGGATATAAACTTCCCAATGTTAATCTCATAAACAAAGTTAACAATTTTACGTACTGCCTTCACACTGCTGTATTCATGGGAAATAGACTTATTCTAAGAGTGAGAATTATATTCCAATACCACAGGTAACACAGTGAAACATATTAGAAACTATGAAACAGGAATTAAAACATTGATTATGCTATTCCATTTAGCCATGATACCATTTTAATATTTTAACATTGAAAATAAACATTTTTTTCTTAAGCGCAAATGACTTCTAAACCACCTTTATTTTTTAATAGCTCTATAAGACTGCTTAAAATTTCTCTCTTCTTTTTTTATTAAATGCATAGCAAGAGAGAAAACTGTTTAATGAATGGTTAGACAGTAAGTTCCTCCTATGTCACAGGAATCTCTGTGCAATTACACAATACACACAGTCTACTTTGCAATACCTGAGGTGGACAGTTTCTGTGCTGAAATGATAATAAATTTAAGAGAAAGCTAGATAGCACCAATTTTGTGTAATATACCTACCAATAGTTTTCAGTCTCGATACCACTACTGTAAGACCCTTCCCAAGCACAGTTTTTATTCTGTGTACATTGCTAGTCTGGTAATTTGTGGTATCAGTAAGAAAGTCTGTTCATAACCATATTGGTTAAGTACGTTCTTTTAAAATTAAAGAAAAAAGTCTCACACTACTAAAACATCAGCTTTGCTTTACTTTGCTCTGGGTTCATGCCCGCATGAAATCATCACCACTCCATTCAATAAATACAGAAGTGGTATCTATGAGATTATAAAACATTTTTCAAAACATAATCATTCTATAATTTGTGATTAGCATTATATTTGGGGGTTAACATTATAAAACATAAGATTAATAATGTTATTTAAGGTACATATAAAACTAATGAACTGATTGAGTAATGTGATCTGCATGGGAAAAAAGCCCAACAACATTATGATCAGTAAGATCCCAACTTATTGGTATTCTAAGACATTTCTTGTTTAATTTTTTTTTTTTTTTTTTTTTTTTTTACAGTTTGGGTGCATGTCTGGTTGTGAAATGGCTTTATAACTGCATCTTAAAAGTAAAATAAGCAATTTATTAGAGTAGCCAGTACTTTACAAAGCATTATGGATTTTTTTTCTCCTATGCACTCTGAAATTAGTTGCGGGTTTTTCTTTCTATTATGATTTTACTTTACAGAAATACTGGCACAGATCTTTTTAAACTGATGGGAAGATGTGAACAAATCAAATTCCCAAATGTCTATGAACTGACTTTCACTTAGCCTTGGGGTTTGTTTTTAAGACATGCTCAATTTTCAGTCACAGTTCTGTTCAATACTCTCAGCATAC